GTTCAGCGCAGTGGCTTTCCCTGCCCGGGGGCCCCGCCGCCGCCTACACGCTACGCTACGGCCGCTGCCTCGTGGGGCCGCGCGCGCGGGCGGTCCCCCTCCTCTTTTTGTTTTTTGTTTTACAGCAGGGCCCCTCCTCCTCTTTGTTTTCTGGACAATCCGCCACGCCCTCCTCGGTCCTTCATATGATGATGATGATGATGCCTGCGTATCAAGTGACACGTCCACTTGATTTTTCAAAATTATCACAAGTAACACGTTAGCCTTTTCTCCCCTTTAAATAGCTTACTCCTCCGTTCGAAATTACTTGTCGCAGGTATGAATGTATCTAAATGTATTTTAGTTCTACATACATCCATTTCTACGACGAGTAATTTAGAACGAAGGGAGTACATATTATCCCTACTCCCCGGGAAATGACATACTGTACTAGCAATGCGCTAAGCTTTAGCACTCGGCATATTAAAACATAATGCAATGTAAATGACTTCCTTAGCTAGGCACGCCAAATGGGTGGCTTGCCACAACTTTTTAGGAAAACGTTTGGTTCTTCCTTAGCTAGACGCTTGATTTTTCAAAATTATCACAAGTAGTAACACATTAGCCTTTTTTTCCCTTCAAATACGTATATATTATCCCTACTCTCCGGGAAATAACATTGCTAGAAACGTGCTAAGCTTTAGTACTCGGCATATTAAAACATAATGCAATATAAACCACTTCCTTAGCTAGCCACACCGCCACACTTCCTAGAAAGACGTTTGGTTCTTTAGCTAGGTTTGGCTTGCCATAGTTCTAAGGAGCTTTTGCAGTAGAATTTTCGTCAAAGGTGTGGCACTCGTTTCAGCCGCCACACTTCTTGGGGCACGCCACACCTGCCTCAACTTAGGCGTGGCAAACAGAGTTCCCGACCAAACACCTTTTTAAAGTGGTTTCACAAATGGAAATAGCTAGTACTCCCTTCGTTCTGAATTACTTGTCACATGTATGGATGTATCTAGATGTATTTTAGTTCTAGATACACCCATTTCTACGACGAGTAATTTAGAACAGAGGGAGTACTAGAGCAGTGTGATGCAACTAAGAACCGAATATATAGGCAAGTAAAACTCCTTATTGTTGTTCCATTAACTTCTTTGTATTGATCGAACGGTTCAAAATCGCACCCTCCATGTCCATATATAGTAGGAAAATCATGTCCTAACGCATCAATGAAATAATACCGCATGCGGTGAAATATGTTAGTAATAGTGTCATGCTAGCACATTACTTGTGCAAGCTATTCGCTAGACAATCGTTGAGCAATGGCAAGCTCTGCTATTTTCAGTGAGAATAGATGGAGCCAAGGCTCTACAACTCTTATCTTCCTTTCTTTTCCAAACAAAATGTCTACCAAAAACAAAAGGATCTATGTTAATAAATATACAATTGATGAAGCAAAAAAAATGCTTGGAGTGAGATTTATGCTTTTATATACATGCCACATCGATCAACTTGTGTTTTTGTGAATTCACGAACAGTAGTGAATAAAATAAATCAAGGTTTTATGTTGTTATTTGGTTGGACTTCGGCGGAAGTACTCACATAACTACTCACGTTATGTTTCTATATTGAATATTCCTACAAAGCAATGGGTTGCAACTTTCACCGAAGTTAGCCCAAGTCGTGTCACAACACAAGATCGAGTGCCACATTGAGGATGCAAGTCAAAACTATGACCGAAAGTGCATTTCACTATGAACCTCACCATCGAACATGCAGCTTCTAACTTTTCCACTCTACATTGTACTTCCAGATAGTAGGTTTAGAGCAGTGGGCCTCAAGATGGAGTGCATACAACGCAACCAAGCTAGGCCTCATATGCGAGCCCAACAAACTTGAGAGGATCGACGTTGCCCTAGGTCATGTGGGGTGCCTCACCGTCGAACATGTGGTTTTTACCTTTTCTATTCTACATCTAGTTTTGAATAGTCAACTTAGCGTAGTGAGCCTCCTAATGACCGCATACAACAGAACCAAGCTAGGTCCCATATGCGAGCCCAGCAAACCCGGGAGGACCCACGTTGCCCTAGGTCATGCGGGGTGCCTCACCGCCGAACATGCGGCTTTTACCTTTTCTATTCTACATTGTAGTTTTGAATAGCCAGTTTAGAGTAGTGAGTTTCCTAATGGACCGCATACAACACAATCAAGCTGGGTCCCATATGCGAGCCCAACAAACCCGAGAGGACCGATGTTGCCCTAGGTCATGCTGGGTGCCTCACCGCTGAACATGCAGCTTTTACCTTTTCTATTCTACATTGTGGTTTTGAATAGTCAACTTAGAGTAGTGAGCCTCCTAATGGACCGCATACAACACAACCAAGTTGGCTCCCATATGCGAGCCCGGCAAATCCGAGAGGACCGATGTTGCCCTAGGTCATGCCCGGCGCCTCACCGCTGAACATGCGGCTTTTACCTTTTATACTCTACGTTGTAGTTTTGAATATCAGCCCAAAATAGTGAGCCTCCTAATGGACCGCATACAACACGACCAAGCTATGTCCTATATGCGGGCCCAGTAAACCCGAGAGGACCGACCTTTGCCCTAGGTCATGCTAAATAACCCTAGATCCCGTATGCAGGCCTAGAGAGTACTGGGCCTACATGACGGTCCCATACGCGGGCCCAGAGAGTAGTGCGCCTTCTAATGGACTGCATACAACACAACCGGGCTAGCCCTATATGCGGGCCCAACAAATCCGAGATGACCGACCTTTGCCCTAGGTCATGTTGGTAACTCTAGGATTCCGCCGACCCGCCGCCGCCGCCGCCCCCTCCTCTCGCAGTTACTAGTTAACCATGTCATCACTAAATTGTTCTAACACACAATGAATTTCTTCTGGCTATTTTGAAATCCTAATTAGTAGAATAAACAGCTCTAACTAGCAATAATGGAAACAGTGTAAGCACACTTGATCTAACATGGAGTGCCTGTGGAGAAGAGAGGAACACAGATATCCTCCCATCCGTCCATAGGTTAAAAGGCCGGCACCCGCACAACACCGAGCTCCATCTCCTATCCTCCTCCACCTCCCCCTCTCTCCACCCCTACCTCGCCCTCCCCTCCCTCTCCAAACCCCCGGCAGCCATAGCCGTCGGGAGGGCTGGAGCTGGGGAAGGAGGCATTCCTTGAAGCCTGCGCGCCCCCTACCCAGATCCGCTTTTTCGGGTAGTCTTGGGCGATCTGGACTCTCCCCCAAATCGTCTGTTGCAGAGACAAGAAGTTGCCCTCGCCTCTGCTCGTTGTTCTTCGTAGCCTCGGATCAAAAGCAGCCGCCTTTTGCATTCATTCTTCGTCGGCCCCTTCGGAGACCGCCCTCGTCAAGATTTGGTGGGAACCCAATTCGCAGGGGTTCCTCGTGGAAAGGCGCCGCTTCGATTCTTGTTTCTCCACCGTCTTCCGCCCCCCTATATATCTCCACCTCCTGTCCACCTACTCGCCTAACTTCCTTTTACTTTGATCCGCCCCGTCTCGGTATTCGATCGCTGTCCGTCCGGCAGTTTCTTGATTTGACGCAGGCCAGATCGCTTTCTGGTGTTTTCTTTTCCCCGGAGTGGTTGAGGCGGTCCCCGTCCTCGGTCGGAGTCATGGCGGCGGTGAACGGAGGCGGCGCGGCGCTGTTCAGCGAGGAGGAACTCCGGGAAGTGAGCGGGCTGCGCCTGCGCGAGGGCTTCGTGGAGATGATGTGCGGATGCACCAGCCGCCGCTACGGCGACGCCGTCGGCCGCCTCCTAATCTACCCGTCCGGCGAGCTGGAGATTAGCTGCGACTGCACGCCCGGTTGCCGCGAAGGTCAGTGGCCCACCACCATACGCCCACGTCCGGTCACTTTTTTTTCCTTTTCTTTTCTTGATTTCATGTCCGTGCATCGATGCTATGCACGGACGGTGTTTGGTCTTTTGGTCAAGTTGCTTCTTAACTCGATCTGCATGCAATGCCGGTACATGCGCCCGGGCGCCGCTCGCGCCCGGCGTCGCCTGCCGCCCAGTACTACTACTACCACTCGGTGTACCCATGCTGCCGCCGCCGCCCATGCATTGTCATTGTTGCTCTGGCTAATGTCAGGATATCTCCAGCGCGTCCGAGTCGCTGGTCTCTGGATTAATATCGCCTGCATCATTCCTTCGGTTTATACATGCGAACCTTCGTGCCGCAGGTCCTCTAGCGCATGTAACATGGGAGCGTTTCTTCCGTGGTACTTGCCCAACGCACGTAGTTTGTCTCGTGTACTGTCTGCATGCTGCCGATGATCGGATTGCCTCTCTGTTCACGCAGTTCAGACAGGCCACACGTTCTTGCTCTCTCTGTTTGTGTTGAGGTCTTTCTCTTGCATGTGGTATCAGGTTGCGCTTTGCTTAGGCCATGCCCATCCGTGTCTATCCTTTGGGTGCTTGTTTGCATTGGATAGGATATGGGAGGCCTGCTCCTGTCTCTGTTCTACCTGATCGCCTGGACGTTTATTTCTGACACATATCTTGATGATGCCTTTGGTTTTCCATATCTGTATTTCAGTGTATCCGTACCGAACTTAGTAGACTATGATTGTGGTACCACCGAGGGTTTTACTGTACTCTGTACTGTAGGTCATCTTGCATTGTCTGTACATTCGTATGAGTTCAGAGCCTGCATACGTAGTTCAGTGTTTTCAACTGAAAAGGTCTCTAGCTGAAAATGTCTCTGGGGCAGTTCAACAAGTTAAGCGACAATTCTCTTATCCTTTCATCAAATGTAGGTCTTTATTTGATCTAGCCTGGTGCTTAATTTTGAAGGAAGAAATGTGTGAAATAACATCAGAAAAAGATGGCATCACTTACGAGTTCCGACTTGCTGTATCCTATTTGATCTACATCTGCACCTTCCAGTTTTTAAGGGTTTGTTTATGAAACCTAGATTGATGTGTGATTTAACAAAGGTGAAAGGCTCTGCATTCAAAATATGCAGTTCCTTATGCCAATAAGTTATGACGGCGGCCTTCAGTAAGTTGTTTATTGATCTGGGTACATACAGCGGGGTGCTTCTTGCTAAAACAACACCCGACCACTTAGGAAATTACTTGTGTTAACTTGATAAGTGCTATCTTTGCTGGAGTGACATCACAGATGACCATACGCTGTAATTTTTCTGTTTAGTGTTTTGTCGCAGAAAACCGTCGCACAGCTTGTTATTCTGCTTTGTACAATAGTTTTGAACTTCTGTTATCATAATTATTGAGTATAATTGTCATTTGAGTTTTTTTACCTTGAATTCAGAAAAGCTGACTCCTTCAGCGTTTGAGAAGCACTCTGGAAGGGAGACTGCAGGAAAGTGGAGGAACACTGTGTGGGTCATGATTGATGGAGAAAAGGTTCCACTGGGAAAGACAGAATTTCTCAAATACTACAACCTGTCAAACAAGTCTGTTAATGGCTCGAACAGAAGTCGGAATGGACGTCCATTGCACCGTGATGAGTTCATCCGCTGTACAAGATGTGACAAGGAGAGGAGGTTTCGTCTTCGGACCAAAGAAGAGTGCCGTATTTACCATGATGCTCTTGCAAAACCTAACCGGACATGTGCAAATTTGACGGCTGATAGGTATGTGTTGCAACCAATTATGTTAATTGATTGTCTAGTTAAAAATATTGAGTTGTAGCGTACATTTATTTCCTCTGTGCCATCATTCCGAATTCATGTTTGGCACTCTTAACAGAAATCCACCGTGCCACTAATAATATTAATTAGTTCATATTAATTTCACGCCCAAGAAATGTATATATTATGATAGCAGCTATGAGAATGACCAGATAATCCTAACCAAAGAGCATTAGGGGTTACACAGTATAGTAAGCATTAAGAGCGCCGAAGCAATCAAGTTAACATAAAGAATCGTGGCCCTTGTTCTCCAGCAAGACTAGCAACAAGAAACTGATGTTGAGTGCCAAACAAACTCCCAAATAGGTTGTTTTGTCTCTGCCGGTAGAGTTACAAGGATAGTGACACCTAGTGAATAACAATCCAAACAGCAGGTACATCACCCGTGGTATTATTGGCACTGCCTGCTGTGGCAGCAGGCCGCTGCAAGCTGATAAAATGTCATACTTGTGGTACCAAATATTTTTTGCAACTTCTGACTACAGTACACATGAGTGGCAACAGAAATGAAACACTTTTTTCGAGAAGTAAAATCCAATACTTTCAGAATTGTACCGTAGGAACTAGGAAGTTGAAACCAGAGACTGCTGGCCTGTATTACATGCTGTGAAAGCATGGCCGTGTAAGTTTGTTGCCAGTATTGTCAGTTGTCTGCACATTCGTGTGGCCTGTAACTACAGTACACCATCATTGATATTACTGTATCTCTTAACTTTGCCCGCTGGCATAATATCATCATATATGAAATTTTATCAGGGATGGTTGAAGGTGTTTGTAGCTCTTCTGTTTTTCTTTTCTTGTTTGGCTTTAAAAAGAAAATCGAATTGAACCATTTTTGCCTAGTTTACTTTGACAATTCCTTTCTTTTTGGATAGGGTTGCCATATTAAATTATAACCTTAGTCATGCTGTTCCATTATTTTTCGCTGGCATCAGTTCATGACTTGTGGCTCATGATATGTATGCATTTGTGATTCCACCAGCGTCACCTGCGATGACGACGAGGAGCGAGGGAGCCGCAAGGTGCTCAAGGGCTGCTCCCGCGCGGCGTCGTGCGCGGGCTGCGAGAAGTGCGTGTGCTTCGGGTGCGAGATGTGCCGCTTCACCGACTGCGGATGCCAGACCTGCGTCGACTTCTACCGCAACTCCAAGGAGTAGGATGATCATCCCAGCCGCCATTCGTTCCATTGCATTCGTTAAGAACACCTAAGAAGGCCCACCCCCCTCCCTCTCGCCCATGGCGGTCCGGAGGGGGGCAGGCATCGTAGCTATTTCCTCCCTGGCACATCACCGGGGAGGGGAGGGACCCTATTCCGATTCCGAAAACATTGTTCTGTTGTTTCGTTCGTTCGTCCGTGTCTTCGCTTTGCTTCCGTTTCCATAAGACCCACCCGGGGAGGCAAAGTCGGTAGTAGTACCTGTTGTTACCGCATACCGTTCACCAACTGTTTACATTGAAATGCACCTCTGTGTTGTCGGTATAATCTCGTCGCTTTGATGCATGCAACGTGTGGCAAACAAGGCGCATGCCTATTGTGGAAAAATGGCTATGATATCCGGGGCGGCGACATGACAGGCTGGGCGTGCGGCGGGCACTGTTGGGCGGTCGGAGGCGAGCAGCGGCGCACAGTGCCGGGGGAGCGAGCCCCTGTGCGTGTGCGGTGCCCCGCCGCGGCAGTGCCTGCCCTGTTTGGCGCCCCGTCCGTGGTGGTGCTTGGGAAGGCGACAGGCCGCGCGCCCGAGTTGGCTGTGGACGAGGAGCAGTGGCCGGTACGTGCAGCGGTGAAAGCGATGGGAGGTGGCATGCATTGCATTGCATGGGCGTGGTGGTGGATCCGGCCAGAGATTCGCGCGCAGGGCAGAGGCGACAAAACTGACATGCATGGCCCAGCGAGCGTAGGATGGCGCCTGGTGATTGTTTGGTCGATAGGGTAGAGTGCTACGCGCTTTGCGGCCGAGGAAAGCGAGGCGTAGCTAGCATGCGATATGGTGGCGAGCCGTGTGCTCGATCCAGTGCGGCGGCTTGCCATCTTTTGCACGTTGTATTTGCGTAAGGTCCAGTCTGCCAGGCGCTTCATAGGGTACCGCGCCGCTCGCAGGCTGTGCCACCGATCGAGATCCTATCCACCTGGGTTCAACGTGCATACCAGCATGCATGCACGTGTTCCTTTGGTTTATACAATAGGAAATTCATAGGAATAAGGCAGTCATAGAAATGAGATGGCACACATCTCAGTTCCTACAGGAAAGAAAAGACAGTCATAGAAATGAGATGACACGTATCTCAGTTCTTACAGGAAAAAAAATGTTCATACGCCAGGAATTTTCCCATAGGTCTGAGCTAATATTTTTTTCTCATTATGATATGAAGGATAAGAACCAATCCTACATAGGAATAGAAATCCTGCATTGTTTTTCGCTTTAGAACCATATATCCTATAAACCAAATGAGGCATATATGAGCCATTTTTTCATTAAGTTTAAATCAAAAAAAGATGTAGACAAATCATCAATGGCGGACACAAAATACAAGTATTGGAGAGGCCAAAGGCTATGAAATATCTCATCTATGCCTCCCTTAATCCCATCCCCCCTAGAGGGGGGGGGGGGGGGCAATTCCCCACACATAAACATTGCTTCGCTAGTGTTGATCATGATGAACATACTAAACATGGCGTTGTATCTTATGCATCCAGCAACCCTCGTGCATCCCTACAGCCAGTCATCATCGTTCGTTAGATCGTAATCTTTGACCCTCCACCTGATGGCACTGTCTGGTTGCAGATTCGCGTGGGCGGCGAGTACAACCTAGGATCCTTTGTAGAGCAACGTCGACCATGTCTCTTAATTTTCCTTCTTGATTGATGTAGGCCTGTGATAATTGCAGGTTGACTTCCTGAATGTGGATTGTGAACTTGTACAAACAGTTGGGTGTGTGCATATAGCTTCAGAGTTTAGAATGTGGAGGCCTATCGATGGTGATTATTGGATTACGAAAACAAATGAATGTCAGCTGATGTGAATGGAAATGGCGGAAAAAATATCCAATTCATTTTAACTTTGTTCCTATTGGCAATTGAGGTGTTTCTCACATACTACATGATGTAATATAACTCTAATGTTGTAGTCTAATTTATTTTGAAGGCTTCTTCACCTAATACATGTAACAGTAGCTAGCATCCCAAAGAATCCATGGATTAAAAGCTACCCGCCCCTTTGAAACCCAGTGCATGTGCATTCAAATTCATATTCATAAACAAGAAAAAAGTTCCAACCGTCATAAACTACTGGAATTCGCATCATCTATAAACCACTCGGAAGTAATTACAAACACATCAAATGTGATAGAAATAGGACAAAAATTGGAGAATAAACACAATTTCTCATCCATTACGTACGTAGATTGAAAATTAAATAAAACTAATGAAATGGTATTAATAAGCTCTGCCTTTCACAAGAGTTTCCTCTATGAAGTTGCACCATTTGGAAGCATGCCTTGCACATTCATGGCTTCTTTTTCTTGAACTTTTTTGGTTGGACAATTGCGACTATCATCAAACTCTATTAGGTTGCACGTCTTGCACAAGCGTGTGACCTTGACTTTGGCTTCTTTGTTCTTCTCTTTTGTTTCCCCCATTCAATTCCTTTTCTCTCTTTATTCTTTTACATCTCCCTACCGAATGAGCATCATTTGGCGGCTGTATATCAATTTGAGTAGGAATGTTGCAACCAATAAATGCCTTTTATTCCTCTTGCCTAGGGTGTCTAACTGCATTAGGAACCATTTGGTTCAAAGGCTCCTTAATGCTCAACACACTTGATACTAAAAATTCCATGCCTTCATATGATTGCGTCGCTCTTTGAATTGGATCTTCCAACTTTTGTTGCGCACTTTTGAAATCTTGTTCCTCGCAGCTGCATCCAACGAGTTGGTGGGCTTCTCTTCTAGAAGGTTCCCTTGTTCATCGGGACTCGGAGTATTTGCACTCGAGCTCAAATGCTCCTCGTGAACAGTAAAATCGAAAAATAGTAAAATAAAATAAAACAAATTCTGTTTTTCCTGTGGCAACCTTTGACAAATGTTCTATGTGCTTGCAAAAATTTATCATGAATGAACATTCCTAGAAGTCGTGGCAAAAAAACAGAAGCGATACTCCAACGTATGATTACTTGAACAAACAACCTACTTATGATTACTGATACGTCTCCAACGTATCTATAATTTTTGATTGTTTCATGCTATTATATTATAAATCTTGGATGCTTTATATGCTATTTTATATCATTTTTTGGGACTAACCTATTAACTCAGTGCCTAGTGCTAGTTCCTGTTTTTTTGCTTTTCATAAAATCAGTACCAACGAAGTCCAAACGCGATGAACCTTTACTGTTATTTTTTCTGGACCAGAAGGGACCCTAGATGCTTCGGGAGGAGGCCAGAAGAGCTATGAGAGAGCCACGAGCTCACAGGGCACGCCCCCTGAGCTCGTGGGCCCCACACAATTCCGTTTGACCTAATCCCAACCCTATAAATTCACAAATATTCCCAAGCCAACAGAGAGCTACTCGAATACTTTCCGTCGCCGCAAGCTTTTGTTCATCTGCGATCCCATCTGGAGGCCTTTTGGGTACTCTAGTGGAGGGGGAATCGGTCACAGAGAGCTTGTACATCATCCTCGCTGCCTTCCGATGATGCGTGAGTAGTTTACCACAAACATATGGGTCCATAGCTAGTAGCTAGATGGCTTCTTCTCTCTGATCTTCAATACCATGTTCTCCTCGATCTTCTTGGAGTTCTATCTGATGTAATCTTCTTTTGTGGTGTGTTTGTTGGGATCCGATGAATTATGGGTTTATGATCAGATTATTCATTGAAAGTAATTGAGTCTTTTCTGAAATTTATTATGCATGATTGTTATAGCTTTGTATTTCTCTCTGATCTATCCGTTTGTTTTGGACAACTAGATTGATTTATCTTCAGTGGGAGAGGTGCTTTGTGATGGGTTCAATCTTGCGGTGTCCTCACCTAGTGGCAGAAGGAGTAGTGAGGCACGTATTGTATTGTCTCCATTAAGGGTAAAACGATTTGGTTTATTCAATATTGACTGGGTTTACTTTGTGTACAACATGTCATCTTGCTTAAAGTGTTACTCTGTTTGTTATGAACTTAATACCATAGATGCATGCTGGATAGAGGTCGATTGGTGGAGTAATAGTAGTATATGCAGGCAGGAGTCGGTCTACTTGTCACGAACGTGATGCCTATATAAATGATCATTGCCATGAATAACGTCATAATTATGCGCTTTTCTATCAATTGCCCAACAGTAATTTGTTTACCCACTGTATGCTATGTGTTCAAGAGATAAACCTATAGTGAAAACTATGGCCCCCGGGTCTACCTTTATCATATTATTAAAACCAAAAATACCTTGTTGCAATTTTTTTATTTTTGTTTTACTTCTCCTTTTATCTATCCATCACTATCAGAATTAATCCTTGCAAGTAGTGAGTTCAAGGGGATTGACAACCCTCTTGCCCGCGTTGGGTGCAAGTATTTGCTTTTGTGTGTGTAGGTGTTGTCAAAGGGAATTTGCTTGGTTCTCCTATTGGCTCGATAACCTTGGTTCTCACTGAGGGAAACACTTCCATCTACTGTACTGCTTCTTGTTCAAAATATGCCCTAGAGGCAATAATATTGTATTATTATATTTCCGTTATTCATAACTAAGAGTTTACATTTCATGCTATAACTGCTATGATCCTGGAATATGCAATTCAGTGGAAAACTCATATGCACAGGTGAAATGATAAACAGTAAACAATAGGTTCCCGGTCTCGCCTCTAAGACCAGCTCAAGTGTTGTTGGTGATCACGTTTTCCGGATCTTAGGATATCGTTAAGTGTAACGATAGTCCTAAAACAACATTGAGGATATGACGTTAGAAGAACGATCGTATTGAATCGACCCAATACTTGTTTGTTATACTATGTGATCATATCGTCTGAAATCATTTCTTATAACACGGAGTGTTAGCATGTGTTTTAGTTCCTCATACCACGAGAGTGTCTCAGTCAGTTCCTACTGGATAGTGGGATTTGGGGTTGCTCAAACGTCATTTGTAACAAGGTGATCATAACGATAATTTTCAGGCTCA